CCTAAACAGTTTCGAAGCCAGTTCAAAAAAGCCCTGCGACATTCTATAACTGGCCCAGGTCGGTCGCAACCTTTCTCAGACAGCGAGTCGGCCGCAAACCCCGAGCTTCGTGCCATCACAGCGCCATGGATTGGGCTACACTCAGAGCGCGCGAAGCGCGCGAGTGGTTCTAGTGTGTATATATATATAGATGGCACACATGAACACATTAACCTATCTGTAGTTGCATACATACATGTATATTTGCATATCGATTCTGTATTCATGTAAAACCATTATATATACTCGTGCTTTCATCCGTATAAACGTACATACATATAGATCGATTGAGGCTGTAAGGCGTATGTATTCGCCCATCTTATATCGCGTATAGTGCGATGCACAACAAGCATCTGCTCCGAGCGATCCCCACCGGGTAGCGTCACCACATCAAGGTTTGCGTTCATAACGTGTGATGCTGGTTTCTGGTTTATGTCGCTGACGCATTTCCCCGATGCCTGCTCTTGATGTATGAGTCGGGTTGATTTTATGTTTCAATACGTTTTGATTGATGTGCGTTGTGGATGGACGTATGTTGGTGTACGGCTTGCTTATTGTTGCTACTGGTGTTTGCTCTTGATATTTGTCATTGACGTCTGTTTTTGTGTACGTACTCGTTGCCTATGTCCTGTGTATTCTTTCGGTGCTGGCTCTGGGCGTGTCCGCCTCCGCAGCAAGCAGGAGGTCCGCCGGCTGTACGCAAGACTCCACGGCCAGTTCCTCCGTGTCGGGGGCCATGCGACCCAGCTCGCGGTGCAGAACGATGCGATGGACGCCGTTGACCAGGCGGGGAATTGTAGGGGGCGAGAGCCTAGCCCGCCTTCGCCTCGCTACAGGGCAGGGCGTGTCCGAGCTGGAGGGCTGGGGCGCAACTCGAGGCTTCGCGAGGGACCATCTCGGGTGTTGGATGCTGGAGGTCGTCTTCTCCCTCCGCACCGCAGCTGCGGCGCCGAGCGGGGTTGGGCCGCCACGAATTTGCTCGCGGTGCGCGCCCACGGCAGCCTTTTTCCACCCGACCGACTTCTTCCACCCCTTCTCCCTCTTCTCCCTGGCAGTGATGCGTGACGTCGCCTCCTGGGCGTCCCCGACACGGACACTCCGCACAGCTTCTTCCACTCTCTACGTTTTCTCCGCGCCTTGGGCGCGATCCACGCGACTACGACGACGACGACGACGACGACGACGACGACGACGACGACGACGACGACGACGACGACGACGACGACGACGACGACGGCGCCGGTTCGCACCTCCTCGCCCCCACTGCCCACGGCTGACCCCGCGAGCAGGTTCGGGCAGTTCCGCGGGGGCGTACATGTCGCCCTCTGGAACGCGCAGGCCTTCTTCGCGCAGGCACCCGGCCGCCATGACGTGCCCACTGCGAGTACGTGCAGTCGTTGCTCAGCCGCGCTAGCCGGTCACGATCACGGAGGCCCACGGCACGGCAGGGACTCACAGCGTCTGGTGCTTTCCGGTGGGCGCCGCAGCATGGTGGCCCCCTGGGGCCACCACGCGACACGCGGGCGTCGGACTCCACACGGCAGACGAGCTGTTGGCCCGCTCCGGCCCGAACCCGGCTTGGGGGGTGATCCTCGGCGGGAGGGCACACAGCTCGCATCGAGAGGGCACCTTAAGGTGCGCTGGGCCTCGTCGTGGCTCACTGCCCGACGGGCGCCCGCCCGCACGGCCACGATCGGTTCCGTCTTGTCTGACGCGGAGGCCGGTCGCCCTCCTCACCGGAATTACGAGGCTGCCTGCGCGCGTTGCTGGCCCGTGCGGTCAAGCCGCGCGCGTTGGTTTTGACGGTATTGGGGCGACTCCAACTACGTTCAGGAGGGAAAGAATCACACAGACACAATTAATCGGCGGTTCCCAGAAAATATGGGAAAATATGGAAAATGGGGGGGAAGACAAAAACCCAGAAAATATGTGGAAATATGGGGGATTGTTTTATTTGTGTGTATTTATTTGTGTGTCCCAGTTCCCCTTTATACGTGGCGGACGATTTCGACCGCCGTGCCACGACGTCGGCAGTCAGCACAGGCAGGGGGGGCAAGCACGAGGAGAGTCGCCTCCAGGAGGTCTTACCAGCCTCGAACGTATCCCTATCCCTAAGATTGGCACGCCAAAAGGCGATGACAATCTTAGGGATTAGCCTTCAAAAAATGAGGGAATCCCCAAGATTGGCATCGTGATGAGGAGGCCCAGCATAGGGATAGGGATCTGTATGTTCCAGGCTGGTGAGGGGCCCTCGGCGGGCCCTTTGGAGAGCGCGGGCGAGCTCTGCCAGCCCGAGCCAACCAAAAGGCCTCGGCGGGATCGACGAGGGCGCGCTCGGACAGGATCCGCATGCCAGGCTCGACCAGCCAGGCCGTCGCTCCCGCCCGAGGCTCTGGAGCGGCGGGGCGCGGGCACCCCGCAAGCTTCAAGAGGGGAAAAAACACAGACACAATTAATCCTCGATTCCCTAGAAAATATGGTAAAATATGGGCAGTGGGGGGGAAGACAGAAAACCAGAAAATATTGGAAAACATGGGGAATCTTTTTATTTGTGTGTATTTATTTGTGTGTCCTTGGGCCCCTTCAGCCGCTCCCGCCCGAGGCTCTGGAGCGGCGGGGCGCGGGCACCCCGCAGGCTTCCCGCACCCGCCTCGACGCGGGGCGCTGCTGGAGGTGCCCCCGGCCCAGGGTGCCCCCCCCAGCTTCCAGGCAGCGGCGAGGCGTCCTCCTCCTCCTCTTCCCCCTCCTCCCCCTCCTCCTCCTCCTCCCCCTCCTCCTCCTCCCCCTCCTCCTCCTCCTCCTCCTCCTCCTCCTCCTCCTCCTTCTCCCCCTCCTCCTCCTTCTCCCCCTCCTCCTCCTCCTCCTCCTTCTCCTCCTCCTCCTCCTCCTCCTCCTCCTCCTGGCTCGCCTGGAGCCCTGCCAAGCAGCGTTCTGAGAACCTTTTTCGGTGGTTTGCACGAGATGCTCTTCGAACATCTCTGGTCGAAGAGTGTCTCGTTTCAGCATATCGGGCTTCTGTTCTGAGGACATTGCTTCTGTTCTTCGAATATTTTTGGGGTTCTAGGACCATTTCGTGGCAGGACTGTAGGAACATGCCGGGACGGTCGGTCTCTGCTCCAAGCTTTTCGCTCCATGTTGGAGCCCCTGCGGCCTTCGGGGCCTCGCGAGGGGTGCTCTGGAGACCGCCTGGGCCTCCCCGGGGGTCCCTCCCTCCCTCCCTCCCTCCCTCACCTTGGGCCAGGGGCAGTTCTAGCAGCACCCGGTCGACGCGGCCGAGAAACGCATCCTGACTGCGCCTCAGGCCTAAGTCGGGCCCGTCCCTCTACAGGGGGAATGTTCACAGATAATCAAACAAATAGTCGGGGGAAGATGTTTTGCTTATTTCTGGACTATGTCGGAGCATTGCTGTTGAGTATCTGTTACTTTTCGTCCAAAATCCGCTTGTAGTGGGACACGCCCGACCTAACCCTAGGCTTTTGCAGCGCCCCAACTTCAAGCGCCGTGTCATGCTCGGCCTCGCAATCAAGGGGGTCTGTGGGGGAAAGGGGGAGGCCTCCCAGAAGCACCCCTGCTTTTTAGAAGAAGGCGCGGGCCTCGTCTAGAGACGCGAGGCCCGCGCCCTCCAAGAGGCAGGGGTGCCTCTAAGAAGCCTCCCCCCCTGCCCCTGCCCCCCCTTGTGCGCGCCGCCAGATGTGCATGCGAGTGCCGTGGGCAGCTCGCCGCCGCATCCCCTCGGACTTATGTGTGTAACTCATCCCTCTCACTCGCAACCCCGAGGTGTGTCGATGGGGCGGGCCTGGCGTTTCGGAGGACTTCTTCGATACTCGTGATCCTGAAGTTTTTGAAACAAACACACACACACACGCACACACGCACACACACACACACGCACGCACGCACGCACGCACACACACACACACAGTGGGAAAACAAACACTCACAACACGTGAAACAAACACAACAAACACAACAACAACACACAAAAACACAACACAACACACAGTTTGCTGTGTGCCATTTTCACCATGGGCGTTGTTTCCAACGTGCTGTTCTCTCGTCAGCACCGCGCGCACTTGTCTTAGGAGTTCGCAGGAGCTCTGTTGACAGAAAGCGGGTGGTTTTCAAAACATGGTTCTAGCTTCAGCGCCGTGCATATTCGTCTTCACGAGTCGCAACATCGTCAAGGATGGAGGGCGGGTTTGTTCGGAAGTGTTTAACGGATTGAGGGCCCGTTCCTTTTCAAAACGTGGTTATCGCCTTAGCGCCGCGCACATTCGACGTAAAAGATCGCAGCAGGTTCAAGGATCAAGAGCGTTCCTTTTCAAGTTGTGGCTCTCGCTTTCGCGCCGCGCGCTTTCGCGTTGTTACTTCGCAACGCTTTCACCAATGGATGGTCGCTCCTTTTCAGAATGTGGCTCTCGCCTTATCGCCGCGCACATTCGTCTGACAATTGTGCAACAGATTCGAGGATTCGTACATGCGAAATCCCAGAAGTTGGTGCTCTGGCACGGTGTAGTGTTTCCCCGGCGCACCAGTCACGTTGATCCGTGTTGCCGAGTTCCCAGGATCAGTCTTCTGGTACGATTTAGGATTGCCACGGCGCAGCAGCCATGTTGATTCGCAGTATTGAAGTCCCAATGATAGTGTCTTGGCATGTTGGAGAAGTATCAGACGGTTGTCCTCTAATGGACCATTTCCCGCGTTGCAGGTAATTTCCTTCATCGATTTCTGAATGGGGGAACGTGGGGGGCGGGTATTGCAACATCGATGGTGCGGCTTGAGCCTGCACTGGTCCTCCTCCTCCTCCTTCTCGTCCTCCTCCTCCTCCTCTTCCTCTCCCTCGTGGTGATCCTCCCGTCCTCCCGCTGTCGCTCCTTCTCCCGCCGCCTCCTCCCTTTTACCCCCCCCCGCACAGTGGGAGCGCCATCGCCTGGGAGCGCCCGCCGCCGCCGCATCGCGAGGCCTCGGCGGCGCCCCCCTCTGGCAGCACCGCCGCGGCCGAGGCCGCTGACCCCTCGCTTCGACGCGAAGGGGGGGGGGCAAGGGGGAGTGGGGGGTGGAGGAAGGGCAT